AAAAAAAAAAAAAGAAAAGTTGAAGATGCATGTTTTTGGCAACGCGAAGAAACTTATCTTAGAAACGAGAAGATAATTACTTTTCAAATCGATCGATCTGAATTCTTCGTCATTGTATATATTACGCTTTGAAGTTTAACTTTTAGTCGATTTGTTCCCGGGAATATCAATCCTTGGCTATTATTCGCGTGGTATCTGCTGCGGAAACTGTATTTCGGAGCAAATCGATAAACTAGAACCGAAAACATTCCGTCAGCCATTTCGTAGAAAATGCGAATTTCGAGAAAAGCTACAGACAGCGTGATTTCCGAAACATTTCACGAGTAACTGAAAGTGTCGCGAAACTACGCTGTATTTCGCAATAACAGCTTTCAAATAATACTTTCGTTAGGTAGGTATACCCATAAACCAGGTAGCAATACCCATAAGAACGTTGCCTCTCACGCGTTGTAAAAATCGTTGCAGAAAGGAAAAGAAACGTTCTCTCTCTCTCACTCTCTCGAGATAAGTTCTTCCTATTCGTTCATTTCGAAGAGAGCCGTAATTCTGCGAGATCCGTTAGGATCGCGTTCACCTCGTGAATCACGCGAGGAAAATAACGGCCTTCCCTCGATATAACGACGCGCGGAAAGGAAGAAAAATGGCTGTCGACCATTCTTTAACGATTCAAACACCTGGCATTGATATAAATTTTCTTTTCTCTCTCTCTCTCTCTCTCTCTCTCTCTCTTTCTTTTTGACCGTATCGCGTTATTTACGATTAATAGACAAGCACGAAACATCGGTAGAACGTGAATATCGCGGTGAGTTTGTTGCCGCTGTATTTTCGCTGGTTTCACATTTTACGCAATTGAATAAATGAATTGGCACGTCCAGTTGCCATTCCTCGCCTCTCTCTCTCTCTCTCTCTCTCTCTTTGTCTCTGTCTCTTTCGCCGTGCACTTTATTTGCTCTTGCAGTCGCGACCAAACGGACGAGCTAATTTCGGTCGTTTAAATAGGGGAAATTCTGCGAATCCAACTAGTTAGAACGCTCTTCAGAGGTTTCGCACTCGAAACGCCAGTAATTATTGCCCTTTGTTCTTGTCTCGTTCCTCCCTCCCCCCGTTGCAAAAAGAAACTTTCGTCGAATTACGGTTTTCCACCCGGTGGGAATTTCGCTTTACGGAAAATCCACCTTTTTTCCACGTTTCAACTACGTGTGCGCGAGCGTGTATGCGTGTGTGTGTGTGTGTGTGTGTGTGTGAGAGAGAAAGAAAGAATCTCCGGAAGAAAATCATCCGGCGATAATCGACGGATAAATCTCTCTCTCTGCCCGCCGTGTGTATACGTCGCGATGATGTTTGCACTTGG